CTGGTTTTCCTATGCAGTGTTCAAGTGGTAGAAGAAGTTCCTCATAATAATTACTCCCAATGAGTATAGCAACTTCTCCATGTCCAACTGGCTTTGAGATCTCAAGATCACAAAGATGATTTAAACTTCTTGTACTGTGAGACCAACCTACCACTTTCATCTCACAAATGTTCGGGGCAGTCCATAAGAAAACTTCTCTCTTAGTGCCACCATCCAAACTCTCAAGGTGTACAGTCACAGTTTTACTATCTGTAATAATTGACTTCGCTCCAAAGACTGATACACGAAGTGATCTATGTTCAGCTTCTAGACCCAACACGTTGGCTATTTCTTCTTTCAGGTATGGTGATCTAGAACCTCCGTCAAGGAAAGCATTTGCTTTAATCCTGATTCCATTTCTCCCTTCCAGGATTACTGGTACCATTTGCAGGGCTACCCTTTTAGGGCGTGGCATGCTCACAGGCTCCTCAATCACTCCACAGGTTGCATAGGTTGTAGGTGTTTCAGCTGCTGGTGTTTCTTCTACAGTAGCTTGTGGTGGATGAAATGTCCCCGCTGAAGGGTTTATGCTTCATGTTTCTATGACTGTGTGCAGTTGTGGGTGGTGCCTTCATTCACATCCTTCCACTGGACAAGTCCCTTTCAGTGAACAACGCCCAATCTGGTGGTTCCTTTTAAGGCATCGAAAGCACAAGCCGAACTTCTTTGCTAACTCCCAGCAATCATTCACAGCTGCCTTCTTCCAAGTTTCACACAACGTGATCCCATGGTCTCCTTTGCAAATGATACATTCTGTTTTGGCCCCTGAAGCTGGAAACGTGTTGTTAGGAGGGTCCTTCTGTTTTTTGGACCATTTTGATCTGTTTGGATATGGTTTGGACTTTCCACCATCTTGTTTAGAGTCTTCCGTTTTGGAACAACCAAACGCCATCTCTTTGACTTGGACCTCTGTTTCCAGCCACTTATCCAGATCTGTGAGGTCAACCTCCTTTGCCTGTAGCTCAANTCCTTCCACTGGACAAGTCCCTTTCAGTGAACAACGCCCGATCCGGTGGTTCCTTTTAAGGCATCGAAAGCACAAGCTGAACTTCTTCGCTAACTCCCAGCGATCATTCACAGCTACCTTCTTCCAAGTTTCACACAACGTGATCCCATGGTCTCCTTTGCAAATGATACATTCTGTTTTGGCCCCTGAAGCTGCGAACGTGTTGTTAGGAGGGTCCTGTTTTTTGGACCATTTTGATCTGTTTGGATATGGTTTGGACTTTCCACCATCTTGTTTAGAGACTTCTGTTTTGGAACAACCAAATGCCATCTCTTTGACTTGGACCTCTGTTTCCAGCCACTTATCCAGATCTGTGAGGTCAACCTCCGTTGGCTGTAGCGCAATCTTTTTCCTGCTCCACCTTTCAGAAATTGCTGGAGGTAGTTTTCCCATGACATGTTGCATGTTGGCTGCTACCTTCAAGTCTGCTCCATGACCATAAGTTTTTAATGTCCTCACAAGGCTGTGCAAGGTGTCAACAAATGACCTCAGACTTGAAGTGCTTTCATCTTTAAGTGCTGGCATTTCCAACAGCTTGCTAATTAAGGACTTTGAAATGAGTCCTGGGTTTCCGAACTGACAAG